GGTGTTCTCCATTCTTCCTTTTTCTCCAAGTCCTTCTATGTGGCTGATGTAATTGTGCCTGATATGGAATGAAGGATAGACCAAGCAAACAGAGTATATTTTACTTTAATTTGAGCAAATTGTGCAGATGTTTTCCAGAGGTCCCTTGCGTTCACAGTTTTTCCTCACTGATGCAACAGTGTTGCTTCAGATAGAAGTGTTTAATTTTGAATTAGAGTGGTCTGCTGCCAAGTCAAGTGAATCAGGAATGCAGAATTTTTTTTTTCTTTGGAAAAAATTATTTCTGTGCTAACAGTGAACTGTTGATTCACGCCTCATGGCAAGTTGTGCACAAGATTTTAGGCAGTAATTTGAGTCTCTTCAAACGGATTCGCATGACTTAACTGAGAAACCCATAAAAGTAACATTGTGTATGTAAACTGAAGTAAGGAATGTTGCTTTTGCATATTGAGATAGCCTGTGAATGTTCTCTGCATGAGCATACAGTATTTCTTTAAAATCATCAATGACAGATCTCTTTTTTCATTGTTAGAGAAGTGGATACTGATGGGAAAGTGAGCAAAGGAATGTGATGGGAATAAAGTTTGCCCTTTTGTTTGAACAGCTGTGTGAAGTGTCCAGCGTTTAAGCAGACGAATCCCCCCAGGAAAAGGATCTTAATGGCCAGTGTTTTGTAGCAGCTTGATCTCATCGCCGGCACAGTCCCAGTCTCTCCAAACATTTGCTATGTTGTAAAAGGATGGAGAAACTATAGCTTTGACTTTGAAGAGGAGATAGACTGCACAGCTAAATCAATCATTTTAGCAGAGTAACGTTTAACATTGTTTTTCACATGAGTGTACAAAAATTGCTAAATAGACGCCACGTAAATATAGAGTTCAAACTTTTAGATGACTATGACTTTGGATTTTAAGCCGTCATTTAATTGTAGAAAGAAATACGTACATAAGAAATGTTACAAATGAGTGGAGCACATTCGCCCACCTGGGCTATTTGATAGTAGCTTTCGTATTCGAGGATCTCACCCTGGTTTCTTATAAGACATTGCTGCATATCAGCTGCAACAGCATGGCTGGGTAGTTTGTTCCAGACTCCCACAACCACAATCCTTTGGCTAAAGCAGTGCCTCTTACTCTCTGTTTTAAATGCACAGCTGCGTAGTTTGCACCTGTGTCATCTTGTTTTTGATTCATCATTCGTTCTGAAGGAGTCGGTTGGGTTGAGCTTTTTGAGCACTTGTATCAGGTCCACCTTGTAATCTTCTCTGTTCAGGACTTAAAAGGTCAAATTCCTTCAGCTTGACAGTGTAGTTTATTCCCGTAAACCCTGGAATATATCTGGTTGCTCATTTCTGGGCTGAATCCAGAGCAGCAATGTCTTTTCTTGTGACATAGTGATCACAATTGTGAATAATATTCTTAATTAGGCCCAACAGATGCATTGTACAGTTTTAACATAACATCTTGTATTTGCATTCTACACTTTTAACTATATAGTGTAACATATTGTTTGACTTTTTATTACTTTCCCACATTGTCTTCTAGAAGACATACTGTACATAATGTGTCAACTTAAATACCTATGCTATATACATAAGTAGCCTCTTCAGGTTTGTTATAGTTTGTTCTCTTTACCTACTTTACCTGCATGCAAACTCTGGTCTACATTAAATGTCATCTTTAATTTTATCTGAGTCTTTTTTTAATTTAATTGGCCTCTTCTACAATGTTAGGTAATCCTCCTAATCGTTATCAGCTGCAAATGTGACTGCTTTGATAATTATTCCAGAATCTAATCACTGATGTAATTAGTGGAGTACCTCAAGGGTCTGTACTAGGAACACTAGGATCTTCTTAATGTTCTTAAAAACATTTCTGTGCCAAAACGTAACAAGAGCAACTTGTTTAATCGCTTGAAACACAACCATGTCGTGGAATACGAAGAGTGCATGGCCAAAAAAAACTGACAAGCGCACTCGCGGCCGAAGTGATTCCCCCAAACAGCTGTCTCTAACACAAGCATTTTCTAATGCCACTCAATATGCAAAAGATTCACGCAGATGGACGAGATAACTAATGCCATTGCATACTGTACTACATAGTGAAGGAAATGGTCCATAGCTACAGTGGAACATAGTGGTTTCAAAAGACTCATTCAAACCCTTGACAAGAGATGCATTGTACCATCGACAAAATATTTTTCTCAAACTGCGGTGCCCATTTATAAGATGTGAGACATTTAGATTTAGTTTGCATTTGACAAATATTCAAAGTTCTATATTTTTCATAAATGTTCATTGTGCAGTATGTTAAAATGTTCAATAAATATTCAATAAAAGTTATTCTCTTTGTGTTTCCACGAATTATGTCCTTAAATTATTTGTAGGACATTGAGATACGATTAAAGTCTGCCTAGTTTCACATATTTAAAACATGATTTTTCAGCATATCATGTACTCCTATAATTCCAAGGGTTTGAAATAATGATCTTTAATTTATCGTTATCGAGGTAGATGTGTGAAATTATCGTGATATTGATATGAGGCCATATCGCCCAGCCCTAGTCAAGATGGCACATGGAGAGGCAGGGTGGTAAAGAGCAGGACAACCGAGCAACCACAGGAGAGGAGCAAGGAGGCCAAGCCTAGCCTGTCCTGTTCAAGAATAGTTTGTATTAAAAGAACAAAAAAAGGTCATTAACTGTATCACTAAAAATGTTCTTTGCTTCCTTTATAGGACGCAGATTTGAATTCTTCCTGATCACACCCATGGCGGTACAGGCTGGGATTCAGGTACATCCAACCCCTAAATTTTCAGATCTTGCCATTTCAGAATCACAGCTTCGTCCCATAATCTGTAAATGTTGATTCCATTACTGTGAAGCAACGTATAGAATGATGACACTTGCTTGTGAATTAATGTACACGTTGTTGTGCTGATTTTATGGTCTGGTAAGATGGTGGTTTTCTAAAAGTTTGTGAATAAGTAAAATGGTTTATACAGTGATTTTAAAAATGATTATTCTGTGAAGGGGTTGGCTTCACTTGAATGCAAAAAAATGATCTGAATACTTTACAGTACATTATATTAGTGTCCCAGTGTTTTCAAATGATAGCTTATTTTATTCATAAAGGATAAATGTTTGTTATTATATCATTTTTACCTCTTGCTTACAATTCTGGGATCCTCACTCTGAAATGTTTACGCTGGAAGCACCTGTAAATAATGGCGACTCAGTTTGTAGTCATTAATAATTTGGACTATCTTGGTCACCTGCTTCAGCACTGTTAATGAAATGTCTTCAGAAATCAAAGGAGATGCCATATACTGTACCTTCAGGTCTTATTATTCCTGTGATATTTCCTCTGATTTAAAGCGGAATTGCTACACTTTTTTATATTTCAGGGTTAGAATGAATCGGTATCGATGAGCTCGTTTCAGACCACTATTAAAGTAAAACGTAGACAGTCACGTGGAAAACCTCCAATTCACATGACAAATTAGACGAAATTCCAGGTATATGTAGGGCCATGTTCTGCTGTTCAGAACTCGGCAACCAAACTTCCTGTCATGTGTTGTTGCCCTATTTCATTGTAAACAAACAGGGTTGGGCATACCTCTCTCTTTTAATCCAGTTGTTATATTGCTCACGACTTTGAGAGCTTCGCTGACAAATACAACTTACTTGTGAACTCTGCACGTTGTAACTCACGCTGTAACTCAGGTCATGTTGTCATGTTTCTGCAGTGAAATGTCTGCTGCACAACCTGTACTTATTCGTTCGTACATAACAGTATATTAATCACTACAGTGACTAGTGAGCAGGAAAGGCCGTATCACTTTGCAATTCCCGCAAAGGTTTGCTGTCGCCCCTGGCAAGACCTGTGGCTTGTGACAAAATGGCGACCATACACAAAGTTCACATGTTGTGCTTAATTCAGAATTTGTTAAATTTTGCAATACCGTCAATTCATTTATTTTGTTACAGAAATTGAATAACTGATCTGAGAGATTCAGACTGCAGTTCCCCTTTAAGGGCCAGTGTTTTGCAGTATTGCCTTTTAATTTTCTGAACATTCTTTTTCTATATTCTATAACTGTGTATGAATGACCAGGGGATGCATATAGGTTTCAAGGCAACCACACAATTTGCGTATACATTTATTCCAGCCTCTATGCTGGTGGTGTGCAGGGCTGTTGTGCACAGCAAACTCTGGCGTACTAATGATAAAACGAACATGATTGAGAGCGAGATTTGTCGACGACGAGCTGTGACCAACCAGCTCTCCTAACACCACCAGAAATCAGCACTAAACAACAGCTGTAGGACCTCCATAGGCTGTACCATGTAACCCTTTATGTGCTAAGGGCAGATATCAAAACTGTGGGTTGGCCATAATTGATGATATTATGAAGTCTGTACATTAACACTTCTAAAACCAAACCAGAAAGAAATATATTTTAGTGCTAGTTGGTCCAGTTATGTTAAAACACCTTCTTAAGGCTTCGATGGATTGTTATTCTCCTATCATGAGAACAGACTCCAGAGGGGCTATATTGTTTAGAACACAATATGGTTAGTCGGCAAGTGTTGACAGGCGCTATCTGTTTCTTTAAAACATCCCCTGCAGTGGCCCCTTAAAAATCGACTTTAAAACCAGGAATGTTTTTTGCATCAGCTGGAAGCTAGAGAACAAGCCACTGTTTCCTCCAGCAAATGAGCTTCACTTGAAGTGTCTAGTGTTTTCCACATCTGGCACAAAACGGGTTTAAAATATAAACTTAAAGTATCTGTATTTTTATTGTGCTGTTTCTTGCTGTGCTTCCTGTCATTCTAGAATGAAATGTTGATACTTTTTACCTTTGTTGAATGCTTTGAATGATTTGGATGAATCTATGTACAACTGTCCCTTAAAGGCAACGAGTGAACCGTCTGTACGGGTAAAACTGCTTAGATTGCCGTTATGCACTAATGACAGCAATCTGGACTGCTGGAACGTGCTCTTCAGCTAAACACATTTCAGGAGAAGGTAAAACAAACATTTTGCTTGAACTCTGGACTTGTGTGAAGACGGATAGTTTGGATTTCAGTCTCCCTTCCTATCTCTCCAGCCTGAAATGCACAACTGCTCTTTTTTGAGGTGCTTTAGTAATTAGGTGTCATTTGATGTGATCATGTTGTGTTCAGGTGCTCTTTGCTCCGTGTGAATCTCAGGAGGATGCTGAGGCTACAGTGGTGAGAGGGAGGATCCCACTGCAGTTGATTATTCCTTCACACTGGATCAGGAGATCAGCTGTCTGATTGCTCTTCTGAATGACTGGCATTTTGGCATGTCTGCAGGTTGTACTGCTGATGTCATACAGTGCGGTGGTTTGTTTTGGTTTGCAGCTCTACTGGACATCTGAAATCTGCATTTTTATGTACAAAGAGCCATCTTTTCAAATGAAATTTAAATCCGCATACTAGTAATCCACACTTGCCAGTTCCCCAGGGTCATCACAACAACACAGCAATCCCTTGATTCCTGAACTCAAACTGGTGTTCTTGGCATATTCATACACAGAAAGAAATACATTCTTCAAAACTGTATGTTTTTCTGTTATAAAAAAAGCTTTTTACACATCATTAAAGCCTTTTGGAAATGTTTATGCTCAATCAAGTTGTGCAAAAATGTAAAAAAAGGCTTAAGGAATAATTACATATGTTTATGTGTATGCTATAGCTGGTAAGTTTATCTGTACATACGTTGGATCATTTGAAGGAAGTGGTTTATGGTCTCGGCTGTGTTCCAGCACTGCTATGGGCTGTGGTTTTTATTTTAGTTTTGCCATCTGATATCTCATAGCAGTTATAATTATGCTGGCACAATCTGTGGACTGAAACTTTACAATATACGTCTTAATCTCACAGTGGCTATTCTGTTTCTCCATGAGTTTCACCCAAAGCATAAGGAATCTGGGAATTTACCAGTCAATAGTGTACACCTAGAGTCTATTGTTGGCACGCCCAACAGCTAATCTCATTTGTTGTGTCAGCACAAATTGAGAGGCCATTTGACAAGAAAAAAATGAATAAGAACATGTATTTCCTATCCTTTCGATGCCATGATCACATTTCATCTCTCTTATCTTGAAAAAGTAAGCAAAGGATTTGTTTTATTCCCAGTAATGTAACGGAGTGAGACAAAAATGTTAATGAAGATTTAATGTGTTTTATTGTTGCCGCTTGTTTTGCGGCAGTTTTGCAGATTGTGAGTTGCTAAACATGACCCCCATGCAGGTGACTGGACTAACCCTCCAGGGAGGTGTATTATGGAAGCCTTTCTCGGCTCTTGTCAATAAGTGATGTGATCTAGGAATGGCTGCATAAGCTGCACCACCAGCACAACCCATTACGCAGCGGCGGGATCGTGGGGGCCGGGGAGATGGCTGATGTGTGCTCCTGTGTGCAGGTGTGGTTCGGAGAGAGGTTTGACCTTCCTGTGCTGAGTCCGCGAAGCCCTCTGACCCCCAGGCACGGCCCCGGTCTGGCAGATGTGTTCCAGTATGACCAGTGGCTCGCGGTGAGACATGAGGCGGCCCTGGTGCCCATGCAGGAAGACCTGGCGATCTGGCTCACGGGCATGCTGGGTAAGGTGCTGAATTATGTGGACACAGTGCTGAATTTATAGAAGATAACATTTTTCCTTTTGATTCCTTGTGGGTGTTTTTGCAGGGTCTTAATCAACTCATGTTAAATCTGAAACTTTGGCTGCGTTCACTAATAAGTGTGAGATTATATAAAAGTTGCTAGGTAGCATTTTGTTTGAATAATTTGTTGGTTTTAAGCTGGTTTAGAAAAGAGCTGCGCCTGTGACTGGAAGGTTGCCGGTTTGTATCCCGCGGCCAACAGAGGAATCCTACTCCGTTGGGCCCCTGAGCAAGGCCCTTAACCCCAGCTGCTCCAGGGGCACCTTATAAATGGTGGACCCTGCGCTCTGACCCCCAGCTTCTCTCCCTGTCTTTGTGTCTCATGGAGAGCAAGCTGGTGTCTGCGAAAAGACAAATTCCTAATGCAAGAAATTGTATATGGCCAATAAAGTGATCTATTGTGGACGACAATGTCCCAAAAGTATAGAAAATGGAAATAATGCTATTTTAATGGACAGATTGGTGCTTTTAAAATTTTTTATAGTAGAGTTGCAAAATAGGGCAAAAAGGGAAATAGATAAATCGAAATTGCCTGAGCGTTTGGTATAATAAGAGGCACCTAAGTTCCTTTAAAAAAATCTGGCACAGCTCTGGCAAAAGAGTAATAAATGCAGAGGTAACCAAGAACAAATAGATACAGTAGTTATTAATAAAATGACACAAACTAAGCAATCTGTACGACAAAAAATCTTTAAACAACATTAAACACTGCATGGTAAACTAAAAAATGTGTGAAATATTTTAAAAGGGACACAGAATAAAAATAAACAGTACCCTGGCTTCCTTCAGGAGACTGCTGGGTGAGATCCTTCGATCAGTTATCTACTAAGTATGGAACTGTCTAGGTGGGTTAAAAGGCCTCTTCTCATTTGTAACTTTATGTATTATGCATTATTATTTGCAGTTACTCTTCTCATGTGTATTTGAACAGATTTGCTCTCTTTTTTTGTTCAAGTTACGTTAAAGTGTTTTTATAACTAAACCTGAAATTTACACTGTGTCAATCCAATATCGACATTTAGGGCCATTCTGGAAACATTGGTTTTGTTTAAAGTGATGGGAACCTTCTTTTTTGGGAGTCAAGTATAAAATGTTGTCCTTTACTATAATAGGTAATATGTTTCGTGATTAAGTACTGGTGTCTATCTCCTAGCCTTTTAAATTCTGAACAGGTTAAATCTTTTCAATTGTTTAAATTTAAAGATTTAAGGATCCTATCAGCCATCATCCAGAACAAGGGAACCCATACCAGAGCTTACAATATACTGTAATTCCCTCTCAGTCAGGAAAGATGTGAAAGAAAACCCTGGGATTCAGCAGAGCCCCGTCAGATATGAACAATATTTTTTTTTTCTTTCATTTCCTCCTGCTGTCATTTTAAAATGAGCTTGCGGCGTGAAAAAGATACTAGACCTGCTGTCACTGCCCGATGACAGAGCTCACGAAGCTGTAATCCAGAAGAAATGAACATTTCAGTCGACTCTTCTGTCTGACACAGGAGCAGAAGTAAGAGCAGATGCCTTCATGGAGGATCTGGACAACGGGGCGCGACTCTGTCAGCTGGCCAGCATCCTGCAGGGAAAAGTGAAGGAATGCTGTCACCCCGACAGGTGGAAGGTGAGGCCGGTGGTGCAGTTCATCTGCATGGCTGGGCGAGACATGTCTTTCCTGTACGTGACACAAAAACCTTTCGCCATGCGGTTTTCTTTAACTTAGTATTAGTATTAAAGGTTGTTAGAGACCTAAATGAGCATACTCATTAAAATCAGTAATTCTCTTCTAGGTCTCTTTGAGGGGCTTGATATAAAGGGTTCAGGGTCTTGTGGCGGGATGCAAAAAAAAGACTCTTTGCACGGCATAAACCAAATGTCGGTAACTAAACTGGAAGCCTTGGGTAGTCTGAAAGCTCTACATTTCCGGCGCATGCATATTAAAAGAAACAGTGCTCACATCTGTTTCATAGCACTCAAAATATAATCTGATTTTTGCTGTTTGGATAAATAAGGCAAATTTTTCTGCCCTCTAATAGTTTTTAGATCACCGTGTGAGCTGGAATTAATTAGCGTCAGAGCCCTTATTGAATTCAGATCCTTAATGAAGGTGACATTTGCATACAGCTGTCTGGGCAGACTGACAGAGTTTGCAGTGAACTGTCAGCAGGGCTTGAGTAGGTAGTCTCGGCACAAAGTGCTGCATTGTGTACTGAAAAGTAATGTAGTGTTCTGGGAGATGTTTTTGAAACGCCTGTTTCCTAAAAGTCCTCTTTGTTCGCTTTGTTTTAGCAGACATAAATGTAACATTGCCATCGTAGTGCATTTGTAATACCTGTTTTATCTGTCATTAAAGACAGGGGAAAGGATGTGTGCCATGTTTTATAATGAGGCATAGCCTGCAAGCAGAATCCCACCACATACTGCATATGCTAAAATAATGGCTGAGGAGCCGCCTTGCCCACTGGCCATTTTTTTCAAATACAGTAAGAGGAATAAAGTTTGATGACATTGAATTACAGTACCACCATAGCAGTTGTAAAATACATGTGTGGTTTAGGCAGCCCATTCTTACTCATCTGCAGAAGGCAAGCAAATAAATATCATGCTCGAGGCTGGAATCAGAGAGATGAAATGAACGAGAGTCACGAACCAACTGGTTGAAATTTACAGTCCTTCAAATCTTCAGGACCTGAAGAGTTCATGTTAACCTGTTTATATGAAATACCTTTGCTAGATTATCTGGCTTTTAAACAATTTTGATAAATGTAATAATGTGGAGGTCATTTATGGAGGCTCTAATTCCTTAAATGGACCAGATCCATCAAGGGTCAAGACTTCATGATCTTTAGCACACACACAAGCAATCTTAATAGACGGCCATTTAGAATTTTTTTTTTATTGACGAAAAACACGACATACGACAGCATCTAAGCTGAACAGTAGGATTTGTTTTCTCTATTTTTGTTTAAATTTGCTACGAGAAGCTCTAAATCCATTTCCTGTTCATTTATAGAGGGGAATCTATTTTGCAAATGAAAATTTCTGCTGTAAATGGAAAAAGCGCTTGTTTGTTTTTCCAGCACTTTCCTATGAAAAGGGTCCCATGCAAGAAGGATGCCTCCCCTGGATCCTTCTTCGCCCGGGACAACACTGCTAACTTCCTCTGCTGGTGCAGGGAGCTGGGAGTGGACGAGACGTACCTCTTCGAGTCGGAGGGCTTGGGTGAGTGTAGGACACCCCTCTTCCAGGGTTCCTGTCCTGCTCGGAGAATCCATGTGATGTTACAGTTCGCTGCATGGAAATACCGAAGGTGGAGCTTTTAATAGATTCAGTCAGCCACACAGCAGTACACTAATGTGAAAACTTAGTTTAATTACGTTTTTTTTAATGAAATGTATAATTTGACCAGCTTTTGTAAAGTATCCCCATAAAGATATATACATCGTATACTGAACTGTATATATATGGCACAATAATTTAAATATATTTGAGTGATTTGATCATTTTCAGCATTTAAAGAGCACTGGAAGCTTAACTTCAGATTTTATCTCAGGCTTATGGAATTTAATTCGCAGTTTCTCTAATGTTTGCTAATCCTCCTATTTTTGGTGTCATCTGCAAATTTGACTCCTTCACTAAATGAAGAGGAGGAGTAGGCCTAATACAGATCCCTGTGGGACTCCAATAAATACAGCACCTCTTATTTGAACTCTGTTTCCTATCCATTAGCCACTTCTCAGCTCAGACACACAGGTCCCCAAGTGCCTGTTGCCTTTATTTCAAGAATTAATATTTTAGGAGGAACTCTTTTAAAAGCCTTCTTAAAACTGTATTGTATTGTGTCCATTTCACTGTGTGCGTTTTCTAAATCCATGTGATCCTTAAGATCATATTTCTTTGTATGTGATCCTCTGGAATTAGTGTTTGGCTACTTAAGTTTTATCTTCTGCAGTTACTCATTTTATTCCATTTCATTTTTTTAATTCTCTTTATACATTTTTCTAATTTTGAGATACAGCCAATGAAAATTTCAGCAATTCAGGATCATCGATTTTGTTTTGTTTTTTCATTTTGTTTGAAATGGGGGAAAAAGTATATATATTTTCTAGTGTTCATGTACACTACTAGGATTTATTTATTCTCAGTCAGAACAATTTTGGATAATGGATTAGGAATACTTTAGAATTCTTACTGATGTGTATTTCTGTGTTGCTTCAGAAGTCTGTTGGATATTATATGTTTATGGTGGAAATCTGATCTTTTGGAGATCCTTGCAGTGTTTCCATCACACAGAATGAATCTTCATTGCTGCAGTCCGTCCATGGCTATCTCACACAATAATGATTACATGTATTTTTCCTCTTTGTCAGTCTAGATTTCATGTTAGATAAATTAATTCTAGAAATGCTCTGTGCCTCATGAATGTTTTCAGTTCCATCAAAGACCACAAGTGTATTGAATTCATTTTTGGAATGTCGGTTACGTTGACCACAAAACCCCCCAAAAATCAGTAAAAGAGGAACACTGCAATATGAATGCACTTAAAACCAGTGTACAAGTATTGTCATAGTTGGGACAATAACACATTTAATAATGAACATTTTATATGTGTTCGTCTAAAATTCTCCACTCTCCGCTATTTTTTCACATTGAGATTTTTCCCAGAAGACACTGCAGTAACCGGCAAACCAAATGTCTGCTTGTGATTAGTGCATGCCACAAAAGACGCTTGAATCATTGCCTTGTGTTTTAAGTTTTAAAAGGGTTTTAACAGCATTTGTTTGTTGTTAATATGTAAATACACTAACATAAAATATTTCTATAACACGGCAAACCGTACTTGACACAAATCACTGCCTAACATAAGCTACTTAACATGTATATTCTCCATATTGTCGAAAGGCACGGTTGTCATTTCTTATCAGCTGCAAAATGTGCTTTACACTGTGAACATGTGCATAACGTTTGGGTGAATTTTAAGATGAACATATTCTGGCAGTTGCTATAGTAATTAGATTAACGTCCAGACTATAAGACTTTCTATTGCAGCCATTCTTAATGCTGAGTATTCCTGCGTGATTGGAAAACGCTGTATTTATTGGTTGAAAACATAGGCAAGTATTACAGCAATTGACTATAAAAGTATAGTATATAATCACATAATAAAGGTTATGAACAATAGGAGGCTGTTCAACTCACCTTGTCTGTTTAGTAGTTAGTTGTTAACGAGCTAACAAGCTGTTTCTTGAAGGAAGCCGACGTTCTGGGTCTAATTGCACTTCCACAGTGTCCACTTGTGCTCAGAATGGTAATCTACTCTGACAGCTGGGTCAGCAGTCAAGTTTCACCTCAGCCAAAGTTCTGGGTTTGCGGTACATAGTTGGCTTTTTTTTTCCATGTCAATCGTAAATATCTAGAATTAAAAACAAAGAAAAAAGTGTTCACTGGGGTATCTTGTTCTGTTTGTGTGTTACTGCAAAGAGTGAGATGATTTACTGTGGTGGTGTACTTTCCTCACCTTCAGCTTTGGGCTGTGTTTGGTAGATACAGTCCAGGGTAGTGGATTTATATATTTAACCCATATAGAAAAGGAAAATTGGAATCTTCCATAACTTAACACAGACAAAGCAACAATTACTTCTTTGTGTAAGAGCAGTGGCACCTTCTGTAGCTTCTGGACCTTATTAATGAATCAACGATAGTGTCCCAGCTAGCACCTCCTCCTTTTTACCCAATGACACCTTGTGACCAGGTCAAATTAGTGCTGGATTTTCTAACACAACAAGAAACAAATACTGATGGCTGTGTTTTTTGCCAGCATCCTTGATTCCTTGAAAAGATCGACGCTGTGGGGCTCTGGGTCACATCGCGTCGGCTTCCACACGTGGTATCAATTCCGATTGGCAGTCCCAAATGCTGCCCGTGCCCTGCAGTGTGCAGTGGGCTGCTGCAGGGCCTGAGCGGTATCTCTAGGCCAGTGGCTCCCAGCCCTGGTCATGATGCCCGCACACCTGGGTTTCATTCCAGCCCACTTCAGCAGATAACTGAAGCCTTACTGGGTCTAAGAAGTTGCTTCTCTGGAATATTTGCATTTGGTTCCAAGTCCCACATTTGGGATTTTATTTCACTGACAAAGCACAACAGTTAAAGCTCCAACATGTTTAAGACGTGGGAACAAATTAATATTAAGTCAAGGGTTTGATTGTGGATTTGAGGGCTCGGGTGGAACAAGAACCGACCTGTGTGTGGGTCACCAGGACCTGTGTGTGGGTCACCAGGACCAGGAACCGCTGCTGTAGGCTTCCCGTGCTCCTGCAGCACTGTGGCTTGTGTGTCCTCTGACCGGCACTAAATCTCCGTTTGTGTTTTTTTTCTTGTAATCGTGCATTGTGATTTATTTATAGGCTACTTAATGTTCCTGCAACGCACCCATGGGTAAATTTGGAGTATGGCTTCAGGGGTATACTTGGGTCCAGTATCATTTAACCAGGGTCAACCAGGTGGCAAAGCGAAAGCAAATTCCTCCTTGAGCTTTTTGTTAGATGCACTTTACGCCTCTTAAAGACACCCTTAATCTAACCCCTTCTTGAAGTGCCTCATTTATGTTCACATAGGGTTTGTTGAAAAGCCCAGGTTTATCATAATAAGCTGTGCGTCCTTGATGTTCTTAGTTTTTCGATCTTAATTGCTTGAAGTGTTTTGTGTTTTTTCTTTCTTTCCCTTAGTGCTGCACAAAGAGCCACGCCAGGTGTGCCTTTGCCTGCTGGAAATTGGACGGATTGTGTCTAAGTAAGTGCTCGTTAATGCCACCGAGGACTGACGTGCAGTGCTTTCGTTCAGCTCCTCTTCATAAAGCAAGCCTTTTCCCTTCAAGATTTAAAGGGGTCCCTCCTTAGGCGTTGAGTGCTGGAGATTTTCACGTGCTTTTGCTAGGAGCATGGCAGCAAGTAGCCATGATTGTAATAGGGGAAGTCTTGACAAACACATGTGTGCAGTCATCCCTTACACAAAAGGGCAGGTGCAGGCAGTTACAGAACATCAGGAGATCTGTGAAATTCTTCACAGTGAGCACGGCACTCACCTGTCTGGTCATTAGTCAGTATTCCCCCAACATTCCCTTGGGGCAGTCAGTGAGCTCTTCTCCAGCATTTTGACACATGTGTGCCAGACATTTCCAGGGGATGATCTGTTTTGTTCCTTAGATACGGCGTGGAGCCACCAGTCTTAGTCAAGCTGGAGAAGGAGATTGAACTGGAGGAAACACTGCTCATCACCAGGGGGCCTGTCAGTGTTTTAACCCCTCCAGTCAAAACCTTCAGCGTGTGCTGTCAGCATGGAGACCTTCATGAGGCTGTAAGTGCTGTGTGGTTAGGTTTTTTTATGGCCATATTCTATGTCATTTCACTTCATGACTATCGGGCCAAAAGCCTTGCAGAAGAGACACTAAGGTTCTGTAGAACTCTAACACTGTCCTATTTTGTCCAGCACACCCCTAGGGTACAGATAGGCATGAAAATCTGGTATAAAAATACAGGCTTTGCATTGATAATGTTAGATTGTCTGAGTATTTTTAAGATGGAGGCGTGTTTTTCAAGACACATGACTGTGCAAGTTGTATTAACGCAGATTCTATGAAAAGTAAAACTTTTGTAAGAAAGTGAACACTTACTCTTTTTTTTCCCCATTGATGCATTTTAAATATTTTCTATTGGTCACTTATTGCTTTGACAGGCTATGGTGATTTTCTCACAGTTGTATTACAAAATATCTGTTTGTGCTGTTTGTCAGCTATAAAGGGTTGTGTGCTTTTTGTGACACCTGGAGTGAAATTGCATTTCAAATGCTTTTCCTGCAAATTCCCATTTCAAAGCAAGTCATACATTTGCTTTTCCCATGTTTAATGTCTAATTAATGTCTAATTTTGTTTAGTCTCGTATTATTTCCACAATTTGTCTCGTTCTTTTTTATTTGTTCAGTCCCCCTCAGCAGCCTGGGTGAGATTTATGGGCACTGACCAACTAGCCCTTCGGACTGAACAGGTCAGGTCAAGTGCACAACAGCTGGGTGTTCATTTCTGTGTCTTAACAAAATATAAGGACATTCCATGCTGTTTAAAATAAAACTTTTTTATCTGTTGGAGAAATTATAGTCTTGAAAGCCCAATATAGATCTGTCTGGAATGGTATTTCCAATTTAGGTCCTGCCAATGTATTAAAACAAAAAGGAGTGTGAGAGATGAGGAATCTTTATTTAGTTTATTCAAGTGGTGTATACTGGATATAAAAAAAAAACTGAATGTCCATATATTTTGCCATTAGTTTTGTGTTGTTCAACATGAAGTGATATAGACACTTGGATCTGTGGGTTGTGTTACCAATGTATAAAGAGTGTTTTATATTCTTTTAAAAAGTCTTTATTAAACCATAGTTCTTTTTCCGTTTTAAAACCCTTTCTACTGCTTCATTAATGTGAATTGAATTATTTTTATATAATACCAGAAAACACTGAAACGCAAATCTGTTTTAATCCTCAGCACATCCTGTATATCTGACGCAATGTATTATATAATCACACAACCACCTGAAATATGCAATGTGTTTTAAAAATCAGTTTGATTCTCATTTTGTCAGATTAAATTGTTTTAATGCTTACCTGTGTCCTCTCTCTGCAGGATCTCTATTTAACAATAAAATATATGGCGCAAAAGATACTTAATATGAGATGGCGTCAAAATGAATTGATATAACAGATGGTAGATAGGGTTACAACTTCCTTTTCCAGACCTGTTAAACACTTCAGGAAAACCTGAACACTCATTTTTTCCTTGTGATTCATTTCTGGAACGTAATAGAAATTGGAAAGTGAGTTTGGCATCCGAGCTGTCCACGATGGCGACTTTGAGCCTGATATTGCAGCTGATAAAAGAGCATCAATTGTGAACTGTATCAAACGTGCATAAGAGGTTACTGAAATGGGAGGAACACCAAAACATTTTGACGGAAGACGTTTTGAGTCTAAGTCACCAAATTGACTGACCAACATCAGACTGAAGCATGAAGTGACAGAGACATTTTTGTACAGTATGTCTTTACCAACTGTGGATATCGGTGTCACCACCCTGTGGCCTGACCCCTTCTTGGTGAAGCTGTGCAAGACTGGGCCTAATGAGTACTAGGAGCTCATACCTTGGAGACCTGCAAAGAAACCCAGATTGCTGCTGTAGTAGGTGTTGGTGGACCAGTAGGTGGCCCTCTTCTTTCTGTCCCTAATTTTCTGAACCAGCACCTCACTATCAGGACTGGGGACACTGCTGTAGGAGGTGCTGGTCTTCAGGTGAGATATTAAATTGATGTCCTGACCACTTGGTCATTAAACATCCCCAGGCACCATTCTTAAGAGAGTAGTCCTGGTGTCCTGTCTGATTCCACCCTGGGCTTGTACAGCCCCCCTTAATTCAGTTAGCGGAGGATAATGGGTGTGCGACAGCACCCAGGAGGACGCTGCACGGCAGTGGTGGGTGAGGTGGGACACCTCCTGTGCCGTGCCTTTCAAAAGTATTCACCTCCTTCCAAAGGTGTCCCATTTAGTGTCCCATATAGCTGAATAATGTGCGTGCATATTTTATACGTGAATACTTTTGGTCAACACTCAAACTGAACACTTGCAAGAATTGTAAAAAAAAATATCAGCAAGAATGGCGAAGAGTTATCAAACCTAAAATATGTCGATTGCAAAAATATCCAAATATCCCCTCCCCATGTCAGTTTTTGGTAGAAGCATCTTTGGCTGCATTTACAGACATCTTTGGTTGTCTTTCTTTTTGCATGTCTCTTCCAGCTTAGCACACTGTGAAGCTAGTTGGAGATAATTGTGAAGCAAAAGTTTTTCCACACAATTTCCATTGTTCTTAAGTTAGGGTTTTAGCAATGACATTCTATGATTTTTTTCTTCCTAAGCCGTTCCAGTGTAGATTTGGCCTTACTGACTGACTGAACTATGAAAGTCCATCTTGGTTTCAAGTCTTTATCGGATCTAAACTGTCTAAACTGCTTTTCGTCTAAGATTTGCCTGTAATTTGCTTCACCTTGTCGCCAGTTTTGGCAAACTGCCTTGACCCTTCTGGCAGTGTATTGTCCTTAATGGCGAGAAGCATCACCGCTGTGCTTGACAGCAGTGAAGGTGTTGACTGGATGATGATCTGTGATGGGTCTGCACAAGATATAACGCTTAGCATTTAGACCTTCAAGTTCCAGTGTGTTCTTATAATGACCAACACCTTTTGCCACGTTTTTGCAGGATCATTCAGGTGCTGTATTGCAAACTCCATACAAGATATGGGATGGTTTTTGCACTTTGCAATCCAGTCCTGCTTTGTGGAGTGACCAGGGTATTGTTGACTCGAGGACAATTCTCTCATCATGGCTATTGACCTGTGTAGCTCCTTCAAAATCACTGCTGGCCTCACGGTGACCTCCTTGACCAGTTTTCTCCTTCCCAGGTCCCTCGGTTTGGATGGACAGCTTGATCTAAGCACTGTCTGGGAAGAATAATACATCTTCCTTTTCGGAATGATTGACTTCTCTGTGGTCAAAGGGATATTCCATGTCTTTGAAAGTTTTTTTTTTACCCTACTGCTGATCTCCTGTTGTTTTGAAAGCCCCTATGCCTTCATGGTTAATTCTTTGCTTGAAATTCACAGACACAGGGGCCTCACAGAGACGGGGTATTTATTCTGGTCTGATATGTGTGTTTTTTGGATTATCATGGCCTAGTGTTAAAGTCTACACAGTTTTGAAGTCATGACGAAAAATGAAAAGATTCACAACAGTATACCTCTGGCTTCAAACTTTGGTCTGTACTGTAGGTCACAATCCTTAAAATGTTTACCAAGCTGGAATTAAGGTATTCACAAAATGTGTGCTTTAAGTCATAAAGACATGTATCCAGTAAATAAATGAGCGGTTGTATTTATTGATGTTCTAAAAACTTCCGTTGGTTTGAACACTGTTGCCTGAAGTTGTCTCAAATGAAACCTGCCCTGGTAAAGTAGATGGATAAAGCTCACCGGATTGAACATTGTGTTGAGGGCAAAAGTCTGCTCCGTGTAAGTTATTCTATCAAAATTGACCTGACAAGCGTGACTGAGGGAACACAGTTTAGTATTTCACTTGCTTCACTGAAAATATTTGGCTCCTTGAGTAGTGTCCCATGGTTTGCAACTGCTGCTACAATGTGCTCAGATCGTCATGTTGCAGGAATTAAGGCATTAACGGTTGACACGCACATTCCCGGACTTGGACTGCTTCATTGAAAACCCTAGCCCGATGGTTATTATTTTATCTCATTTGTGCATAATTGTAACATGGAAAGATGTAGTTGCACCCAGTAGTAGATTTACAATTCTGTGTTTGATTATGGTTGTATGTGTAGATCCATGCATGTACAGTGCATGTTAATTTTTGAAACAACACATACAATAACCTCAACATTGGTGTATTAATGGACAATACAATAAATAATATCATTCATTTTATAGGATTTTCAATTACAGTTTAGTAGTCATGCATGTGTGAGCAATGCATGATTTGAAAATTGAGTATTGATGGTTTGCTCTTTTTCTTCCCATAGGTTCAGCATATTGCTGATGACCCTCCTTGTAACTGCTCTCATAGGTTTTCCATTGAGTATTTGTCTGAAGGCAGATACAGACTAGGAGACAAGATCCTGTTCATCAGGGTGAGTATTCACATCATATACACTGAGCAATTCCCAGAGCCGATTGACCGTGCTTACTGTAAACTAAATGCTATCCCAAATTTGGGAGAAAACATTTGAATTCCTTTTAGCTATATCCAGCTCTTCACCATCACTAGCTCAGATGGAAGTCTGTCCTTGGGCCACGAAGCTCTTGCCATTTTGAGTTCTGAGAAAATTTTTCCCAGCAGCCAAAGCTTGCTGGTATGTGACTTCTGCCCCTCCAGCGTTTTTTCTTCCTTCTGTTGATCCTGACATGCCTGTTTCTTTCTTGAGTCAAGTTTAAGACGCATGCATTCACAAATTAATACGTAATCCTCAGGTTTTTTAATCCTAACTTGAAATGCTCTGAAAGTCTCTAGGATTGTTTGAGCTCTATGGTCCAGGTGCTGTGGGTTCGGGCCTCGGTCATGTCACTAGCTGACTGAGACTAGAATTCCCCAGACAGGCTCATACTGGCTGAGAGTAGGGTGGGGTTAGACTGCCAGGGCTCTCCAGGGGATCGGTGACAGAGCGACCCCCTGTGTCTACCAGAATCCTTACAGGAGAGCAGTGCCTTCATCTCTCCTGCGATCAGAGCCAAACGTCTGGAAGAGGACTGTGTCGCCTGTGACGTGTGAAAAGACGAGCTATTCAAAGGTGGCAGGTCGTCCTGCGGCCGTGGGGATGGTATCCATGAGCCGAGGTGTGAAAGACACAAGCTTGACGCTTCCAGAATCAGTGGGCTTTAACAATAAAACAACAGATACTTCTAAATGAATACAAATTAATAGAATTATCCTAAAAAGTAAACTTCTCAAAGTAGGAAATGTGATCTGAAAATCAATCAAATTTACTATAAATGTAAACCAAAAAGATTGTATACGCTTAGTCCTTATCCGGTCGTGCCATAAATGGTGAGGCTTAATTCTAAGAGGCTTTTTATGTCTGAACTGGATTTATATGTTCAATTACAAATTTGCCTCATAATTCTGAAGTGCTGACATGGATTAACATCCTTCCTTACTTGGAAACTGTTTCCTTTAAAGACGGTTCTGGACACAGTTCTAGATGCTGTTCATTATTTATTTTGGTTTCCTCACACTGTCCCTCTGAAGCTTTTCTCATGTTTCTTCTCGTAACAAAGTGCTGCAGAGGCCGGGGAGGGGGGGGTCATCCAACATTTCCTCCTCTTCTGTGTTTCCTTGTCTAAAGAAACAGAGGCAGGGGCCTCCTGAAACATCAGGATGTTTCCTGGAAAATGGGACAAAAAGAAGCTCTGCAAAAACAGCTCAACAGGCCACTCTTAACAAAGAGTGTTCCTTTTCTCCTGCCCTGCTGCACAGGAGCGTGGCTTCATCTCCCTGTCGGATGTACAGTTCAATAGCCTCAACACAATGTCTATTTATACAAGAGTTAAACAGGATATGCAAGAATATATCCTCCTTTAAAAGGTTGAGCATATCCATTTTTCCACCTGTGGCAGGAGCACCTCTGTGAGCTTATTTTATGTCCGATCTAATGCCACAGTGTTAGTTATCCGTATGTTAAAGAGAAACATCTCATTAGTGCTATACCTTTGACCCCACTGTTAGGTTCCTGGTACTGAGACAAGCTGTATAATACAACCCTGCTTGGCACCAGACATCCTCAAGACACAGATGAACTATCCTATCCTTTTTTATCCCTGATTGAAATAAGCAGCAGAGAAAAAAACGACTCAATGTGTTCATTAGCTTTAGTGTAGAAGCTATAGTTTGAACGCTACAGATTTCACAGCTAAGAAACCACAGGGAGACAACTTAGGGAAAAACCATGAAGGAATTCTAATGTCAAGTGAACATACAGTAAATGGGATATGCATTATGTATTGCGTTAGTGCAAGATAAGGCAAGATGCTCTACTTCATTGCTGATTATAGAAGAGCCCTGTTACTGTATTTGTAACTGTAAAGTTTAACGTGCAAAGTTTAACCATTTTCTTGTGTGATAAAAGTGCAAATGCAAGCTTTTGTCCCTGATTATATATATATATCATTTATTCTAATCAAGTTATCGTAGAAAGATAGGATTAAGCTTAGAAAAATGTGAAGCTTTCATGATACAGCCTGCATTGCTACTCCAGGTGTGCAGTTTGGAGTTGTAGAAATTCAGTCCCTCTAGGCTAGAAGTGTTGTAGCACATCAGAAGTATTCATAATTATTCTATATTTAGTGTTTGTGAAGGGTATATAACATACCTGGGATCTATGGTAAGCTTCGTCTTCGCTTGGCTTATAGCTACATTAGTTACCAGCAAGCATCGTGAAATATGTATAATTCTCGGGGATGTTGTATGGTTATATATAACTGTACTAGTAATTTCAGAAGTGGCATTGCATGTTTTCATGGATATGAAGACTCAGCCTGAATTTGGATTTCTTAAGTGTCGAATAATTGGGAACTTTTTATTCCGGCAATTAGTTTTCATCACAGGGTCAGTACATTCGAAAAAAATCACTTCTTGCGTACACTCTTCTAAAAAGACTGGTGTGTGGGGGCTCCTCCGAGGCTGGGCCGGGCCGGGCCGCGCTGCTTGACCCGCGTCTCTCACCGCCGTCTTGCAGATGCTGCACGGGAAGCACGTGATGGTGCGCGTCGGCGGCGGCTGGGATACGCTCCAGGGCTTCCTGCTGAAGTACGACCCCTGCCGGGTGCTCCAGTTCACCACGCTGGAGCAGAAGATCCTGGCCTTCCAGAAGGGCATGGCGAGCCCCGCGCTGGCCGTGCCGGCCTCGCCAGGCAGGTCCCCTCAGCCTCCCGCCATGCACCCCCTCTCGGCCGTCCGCTTGTCCCGCCCCAGCGGCCCTTCTCCGGGTCCCAGGGTGACCGCGAGAGCGCCGCCGTCCTCGGCCGCCGCCGCGCCGCGCCTGGCGAAGAGGCCGCCGGCGCCTTCCAAGGCCTCGCGCCTGCCCCCTTCTCCTCCTGCCGGGAGACTGCAGGGCTGCACGCCGAAGACAAGGACACCCTCAGCGCTCACCACAAGTCTCGAGAGCAGGGCGAGGCGCGCCCAGTCTCCTTCGACAAGTTCCCCAGTGGTGTCCAGGCTGACTCCTTCACCCCGGTGCACCACACCCCTGGGCAGGGACCCACCTGTCCGCTCTAAACCAGCGTGGAAACCCCCCAAGCCTACGAACTCGAGCCCGGCCCAGTTGACCAAAGCTGCCCCCTCCCCTTCCCGGTGCTGTCCAGCGCCCTCCGCATCCAGGACGGCTTCGGCTTGTTCTGACCCCACGAGCCCGTCTGCGTTGGCTTCGAGGGGGCCTCCCAGAAGGGGCGGGGAACAGGCCGGGCCACCTCCAGCTCCTGTTCCTGCGCCAGCCACTCTTCAGAGAAGGCTTTCCCACAGACGGCCAGGGTCGCCTGCGGCAGCTCTGAGGCTGAACACCCAGGGCCTCGGGGCACCGAAACCGACTCCCCGTCCGCTCAGGGCCGGCACCCCCGCCAAGCCAGAGACTCCCACGCCCAAGTGCCATCCCAGCTCCAAGCCCTCTCCTCTCGCACGCTCTGGGCCTTCCAAGGCAGCAAAAAATCAGCCCCCCGCACCTAAACCGATGCTTTCTACTGAGACAAAGGTTCAGACCCAAAGCCAGCCTTCTTCTAGGGCTGTAACAAAAAATCCCAAAGCCTCAAGACATCCAACCGCTCCCTCCAGCTCCACCGTGCGGAGTCCGTTGTCCGTTGTCAAGATTTCCCAGACTACGGTCCAAGCCCCAGAAGGCCCAGCGCGCCGGGCCCAGCCCGCCGGTCAGACTGCGGTGAGAGGGCTGCGCCCAGCTCAGAAGAAGCCCTTTATAACTGGAAAGGCTCCCCTCTCCTCCAGTAGGACTGCTCCATGTGTCAAAAGAAATCCCGAACTCAAGAGCAAAGGTGAAGACCCTTATTTTGTAATGAACGGCAAGAAGAAGCAGAAAAGTTAAATCTTGTGCAGATGGCAAGGAGAGAACTGTCTTCCATGTTTGGACATATAAAAATATTTTTTTTCCTGTAAAGTGTCACGAAATTATAAAACAAAGCATGTTTGAGGTTGTGATTTTGCACCAGGTTTTCAGTACAAGGAAGAGGTTCCACCATTAATTTAATTTGTGTTTTGGGGGTGCCTGGCTTTGCTACCTCACAGCTGTTCGCTGGGCTTGATTCCAAACCAGGGTATTTTCTGTGTGAGCTCTGCATGTTCCCCCTGTTAACTGGCGTCTCTAGTTTGTCTGGGTGCCTGTCTGTGCCGAACCCGCTAGACTAGACTATTGTAGGTCAGGCATAGAATCAAGACACTGCCGCACCAGTTGAAGGGGGAACTGAAGGAAGACTAGTCTGTACAAACCTGGAGTGGTATTCAGTCAGAGCAGTTGGTTTTACAGCCCTTCTCATTGACCAAGGATTCAGTATCTGAACATCTCAGCTGAGGGCATCATCTCCAATCTGAATACTAGGGCATTGGTTTGATCTAGGTGGAGGGCCACCTCCTGTCCCACCTGCATCACTGGAGGTCCAGCCATCATTGTGTCTGCGAGGAGCTGGCTGACAGTGTGTGACTGTGTGCAAGGAGAGCGTCAGTGCCTCCTCCACTGCCCCATCTGTGTTGACTGTGAAGCTTGCAGTGAGAAACACCACTTCACAGCTCCAGCAATGCGTTTCAAAGGAAAACGTGCACAGCCTGCATTCTTCAGTCCTTCTATCAGGGTTTAGAAAAGAAAGCCAAGTTGATTAGCGCTATGCGATTTCAAAATTGCATGGTAAAATAAATCCATCCATTCATCTTCTAATCACGTCAGCCAGTTCAGGGTCACAGGGGAAGCTGGAGCCTCTTCTGGCAAGCAACGGCTGCAAGTTGACTCTCGACGGGCAGACACACACGCACACACGCACACACACACACACACACCAGGGCCAGTCAACCCGTATGTCTTTAGACTGGGAGAAAACTGGAGCTCCCGGAGGAACACAGGGGGAACAGACTGGGGAACAAACTCCACACGGACAGCACCCCAGGTCCAGAGCTGAACCCAGGGCCCCAGCGCTGCCAGGCAGCAACGCTGACCACTGTGCTGCCGTGCCGCAGTAAGATCATTCATGATTCCAGTTTTGTTTTTTTAATTAATGTTTGCAATGGTAGCGCAGTGTTTATTAAATATTGCATCTTTTTTTTGTTTTAAGTCAGTGCTGTCACATTCGAACATAGTACAGGACATGAGAAAAATATAATATTGAAGAGAAAGTTTAAAAATAAACCACCATTTCGCTAGTTCTGACCCGTGATGTTCATTTTGTGGTTAAATATGCTACTGTACATGACTTGTGCCTGGGTTTGTCAGCTGACTGTATGTGTGATTAAATCACAACAAAGCAGTCATTGTATTAACAGTAGCGTGCTTTACAGGAGACTGTTCCTGGAGGGGGTGCTGTGTCTTCTGAAGAGTTGGGTGAAGCTGTTAGTCTGGTATATTTAAGCCAGGAACTGGCTGATTTAGCTAAC